TGAGTACTTAACAGGAAAAACATCACAAAGATAAAGTATTGAAATTTTAGTATTTATTGTTTATAAAAAACATCCAGATTTTTAACATTGTTTTAGTGTACAAAGTATAAAAAAGAACCACACAAATAAAATCTTATATGAACCAAAATAAAAACACCAATAGTACTTTATCAAAAAAGAAATCTTTACTTCAGTTGCCACTCTTAAGGCAGTCTGCACATATGGCAACAGCATGTTCCATACACACACTCATCGCCTACACTGACAGCACATGTCTTTTGCTTTCCTGGCCTTTTTGTAGGACATACTTGACATTTCAGTGGTCTTGTTGTTTTGTCAGTTATTATTATACGTGTGTAGTTAGCAGGACATGAAATATTGATAAAATAAATTATTAAATTCTTAATATGTCTTGTATGTTTAGAATAGACATCAACATTTTCACATCAGCTGTTTACTTGCTTACAAAACCTAAAACATAACATCAGAAATATGAAAATACCAATAGAACTCCATCACAAAATAAGCTTTGCTTCAACTGTCACACCCAACACAGTCTTTGCACATGACATGCACACCTTCACACATGAGACATGCACACCTATTGCTTACACTGACAGCACGTGTGAAAGTCTGATCACCTCTCTTCCTGTTTTGTCAGGAGCTTCCTACTATACTGTACACCATGCACTTAGTAGGGAAATAAAATATCAAATATGTAATGAGTGCTTAGAATAGACATCAACATTTTCACATCATTGCTTATAAAACCTAAAGGATAACATCAAAAATAAAAACCTATGTGAACCACAGCGTAAATACAAACAAAAGTCCACCACAGAAATACGCTTTGCTTCACCTGTCACACCCAAGGCAGTCTTCACACATAACAGCTGCATATTCCATACACAAGTATCACTTACACTGATAACACATATATTTTCTTATAGGGCACAGCTGACATCTTTTTTTGTTTTCCGGTTATCGAAGTAGGTCTTTGTGATAATGCACTTGCATGTTCAGCTGTCAGCTCACCAGTGTGCTGCACAATTTTTTGTGTAGTCCCCTGGGAAGAAACATTTTGTTTTCCTCTGAGGTAAATGATCCCTTATGAGCTCCAGTCCCAATCCTCTAAGAAAATTTCTCCATGACATTTTGCACTGGTTATTTACTTTGCAAACTATCAAACTATTTATTTATTCTATGTTTAGAAAGGAGTAAAAAACCATTGGCCAGTGCTTTGTGTTTCAAGTGACATCATAGTTGCTGCATAACTTATCAACAACATCTATTCCACCTTTGGTTTTGTTGTAGAGAGTTTCCATCTCAGGCTTCCGTTTTGTCAGTTTCCCTTTCAATATTTCCATCATGACATGTTGACATCAGCAGTACCAGTTTGTTTTTCTTTGCCATATATGAGGCCAATGTTACATCTTTCTGAAATCCAAAGATTGTACTATACAATACTGTTTTGAAATTGCAACATTTCATTTGGAATTTCTGCATTGTTCCTATGTACAGTTCCCATGCTGGTCAACTTGTGCTCTGTTAGCAAGTGTAACATCAGTTGGAAACTGGCAAACCAGCTGTCAAATGTCACATTTTGATTAGTTTGGGAGATGGGACCAACAAGTCTGTTTACAGCATCATTAAATTTATTACTACATGAATAAGGACCTGATGCTGAGTTTCAGGATACATGTCTAAATTGAAAACATAATATGTCTTTGCATCTACAAGGGCATAAATTTTTATGCCATATTTTGACCTATTGCTTTTCAGTAAGTCTTTTATATTCCTGCGGTCACCATGAGAAATCCCCACTGTGTATACCAGACCCATGAATCATTCAACTAGTGAAATGTCATAATAAATACATTTTT